AAAATTTTGGATAATTGAATTTTCCATTTAATATATTTTTTCATCATTTTTGAATAAAACTTAACTATGTAAGTGAACAGTTTATTTGCATGGTTGTTGACAGAAAGCATTTTCATGATTGAATGTGATTTCTTTACAATACCCAAGTGCACTTCAAACGTGTTTATTAATCATACAAACTTTAAAGTCCCATCCTAAAATTACTACTGATGACTACTACTTGAAAACTTGTTTGAAAGAAGCCGATCTGTTTCATAAAGTGAAGAGTTTAATTCCAGGGCTTCGATTCTTTTCTTAAACAAAAATATTGCCTAAATTCCCTTTCATTGATCATCCATAATTAACATTCAAACATGACCTTGAACTATTTTGTCATCAAAATATTTGTTAATAAAATCAAAGACAAATTCCCAGCCTTTCTCGTAGTAGTGTTAGAAATTCTTATCTATCATTATCTTCACATTTGATCGCTTCAATATTATCGCTACAAAATNCACAGATTGAGAAGATCGCCAGAGTCAACAACTTGAAAGTTCCAAGAAGACTTTTAGAGAAATTAGAAGCCGAACCTGAGACTTTTGATAGCGGAAAGAAACATTCAGTGTTCGATTTATTTAAGACACCAAATCTGCGAACCAAATCAATTCTCATATTTTACAATTGGTTTGCCATTTCCGCTTGTTACTATGGATTGTCATGGGGATCAGGCAGCCTAGTAGGAAATCAAATTCTCAACTTTATTCTCAGTGGTCTCGTGGAAATTCCTGCTTATTATTTTCTGATCTTGACACTCAATCGATGGGGACGAAAATTAATTATGTCAGGCAGCATGATTTGTGCTGGTGCAGTTCTTTTACTTTCTCTTTTCATTCCCGAGACGTGGACTTGGCTGGTTCTAACTTTATCCATGTTGGGAAAAATGAGTATCACTGCAAGTTTTGGCACAGTTTATTTGTTCTCCACTGAACAGTTCCCGACAGTCATCAGAAATGCCGCACTTGGAGCTTGCAGCATGTGGGCTAGGATTGGTGGAATCTTAGCTCCATTTGTTATTCATCTGTCGCAATCATGGAAACCAGCACCTTTCGTCATCTTTGGTGTTTCTGCATTCGTTGGCGGAGTTTTTTCAACATTTCTACCTGAAACTTCTAACAGAGAACTTCCCGAAACACTCGATGAAGGAGAAAACATAAGAATGTAAATGTTAAGACATGACAAGAATTTTTAATTAAAATGTTTTTAAAAATTTTGGATAATTGAATTTTCCATTTAATATATTTTTTCATCATTTTTGAATAAAACTTAACTATGTAAGTGAACAGTTTATTTGCATGGTTGTTGACAGAAAGCATTTTCATGATTGAATGTGATTTCTTTACAATACCCAAGTGCACTTCAAACGTGTTTATTAATCATACAAACTTTAAAGTCCCATCCTAAAATTACTACTGATGACTACTACTTGAAAACTTGTTTGAAAGAAGCCGATCTGCTCCATAAAGTGAAGAGTTTAATTTCAGGGCTTCGATTCTTTTTTTAAACAAAAATATTGTCAAAATTCACTTTCATTGATCATCCATAATTAACATTCAAACATGACCTTGAACTATTTTGTCATCAAAATATTTGTTAATAAAATCAAAGACAAATTCCCAGCCTTTCTCGTAGTAGTGTTAGAAATTCTTATCTATCATTATCTTCACATTTGATCGCTTCAATATTATCGCTACAAAATGTAAAGCGTAAAGTGTTAGAATTTATTAAAAACAATTTTCGAAAAAATAAATCATAAGTGCGAGACGAATAAATTTACGTTTTATATTTCAATAAAGCTTTAATAAGTGATGAAGTTTGATATGAAGTTGCAGTTCTATTGAAATCAGTCGTTCACATTGTCTCATACATTACATTTGTATCAGAGCATATCAAGATAAAAAAGGAGATTTCAGCGAGAAGACAGCTGACTAAAAGTACAAACACTTGTAATTTATTTAAGTCTTACACTTGTGATAAAGAATAGTTTGATAAAAAGTGGAAAAGTTCATAATCAACCAAGAAGTTGTTCACGACAGTTATTATTGCTGGTTCAAGGAAAACGTGTTTGTAATAATTACACACAAATAATAAAGTTGTTAATAAAGTGAACACAAATAACATTCAAATGAATTATGATGAAATTCTTCCACATTTATCGCGTGGTAATTTTGGAAAATATCAGAAGAGAGTTTACATCTTGTTATGCATTCCGGCTTTAGTGACAGCTTTTCATTTATTGGGCGGAGTGTTTCTTGTTAATCTTCCGGATCATCGATGCAAGTTAGATGGAGAATTGTCAAATTCATCTTTTCATTTACCTGCTGATGTTTGGAATTCTTCATTTCCATTTGATAAAGAGAAAAAAGCTTATTCGAAGTGTGAATATTTTAGTTCAGATTCAAATGAATCTGTGAAATGTTCCGAGTTCATTTGGGATTCATCGAAAGTGAAATCGTCAGCTGTTAAATCATTTTCATTAGTTTGTGATAAAAATGTTCTGAGAGCTTCAGCTGACTCGATGTTAATGCTGGGATTGCTTTTTGGAAGTTACATTTTTGGTGATTTATCTGATAAATATGGAAGACGACCGACTTTAATTCTGGCGTTTCTGGTGCAAGAAGTTTTCGGATTTCTTGCTGCCATATCACCAGAATTCTTTTCTTTTGCGATTTGTCGAATGGTGAGAGAATTAGCTTAATAGAAAAATGATAAATTAAGATGACGAAAATGTTATTTCTAGTTTGTTGGAGGGGCTACGAGTGGCATTTATCTTGTTGGATATTGCATTTGCCTCGAAATGGTTGATAAAGAATCTCGACTCAATGCTGGAACTTACATCATGATGTCATTTTCTTTTGGTTACGTTGTACTCGGATTGCTTGCATATTTCATTCATGACTGGAGATGGCTTCAAGTGGCTTTGACCTTGCCTGGCATACTTTTCTTATCTTATTGGTGGATCATTCCTGAATCAACTCGATGGCTTTTAGCAAACAATCAAAAGGAAAATGCAATCGCACAGATTGAGAAGATCGCAAGAGTCAACAACTTGACAGTGCCAAGAAGATTGCTGGAGAAATTAGAAGCTGAACCTGAGACTTTTGACAGCGGAAAGAAACATTCAGTGTTCGATTTATTTAAGACACCAAATCTGCGAACCAAATCAATTCTCATATTTTACAATTGGTTTGCCATTTCCGCTTGTTACTATGGATTGTCATGGGGATCAGGCAGCCTAGTAGGAAATCAAATTCTCAACTTTATTCTCAGTGGTCTCGTGGAAATTCCTGCTTATTATTTTCTGATCTTGACACTCAATCGATGGGGACGAAAATTAATTATGTCAGGCAGCATGATTTGTGCTGGTGCAGTTCTTTTACTTTCTCTTTTCATTCCCGAGACGTGGACTTGGCTGGTTCTAACTTTATCCATGTTGGGAAAAATGAGTATCACTGCAAGTTTTGGCACAGTTTATTTGTTCTCCACTGAACAGTTCCCGACAGTCATCAGAAATGCCGCACTTGGAGCTTGCAGCATGTCGGCAAGAATCGGAGGGATTTCGGCTCCATTTGTTATTCATCTGTCGCAATCATGGAAACCAGCACCTTTCGTCATCTTCGGTGTAACTGCATTCGTTGGCGGAGTTTTTTCAACATTTTTACCAGAAACTCGTAACAGGGAACTTCCAGAAACACTCGATGATGCAGAGCGAATTTAGGTTTCATAGTAAAAGTTTAAGCTTAAGAATCATTTTGTAAATTGATTGATTCAAATCTGGGTTTGATCTTTAGGGTGTTGTTGGTCAGTATTTTTTATTTAATTTCTTTTACTGCGTTTCGTAATGTTTTTCATACTTTTAAAACATAACTTATGCAATCTTATTTTAGTTCTAATTAACAAGAATGAAAGTGGTTCGTTATTTTTAATTCAATTTTTTAGTTCTTATTTGCAAATAAAATAATAAAATAATAAAATAAGATAGAAATTAATAAATAAATTTGTAACATTTGGAATTTAAATGAATTGAAAAGTGTTGAATTTGATGATTGAAGATCGAAAATTTCTGTTAATTTATTAGAAATCGTAAATTGGATAACTGTTGCAATAGTTTGAGATGTTGAAATGGAGAACGTCAGAATGAATTCAAATTCTTATTTAGAAAGCTTAACAATCAAAATTTCGCTTAGTGGAGTGTCCGACTTCAAACAAAAGCCTGATTAATCTTGCAAATAACTTCTCTGTCTAACTCTTCCATTCCACTCATTAATCATTTGCTGATATTAATTCTTAAACGAAAAAGAATTAAGAATATTCACCTTTTCTCTCATTCATGAATGATTTTTAAGAAACTTGATATTCATGAAAAGAATTTTGATGATTTATCGATAAAATTTGCTTTGAAAGTTAAGAATTTTCGTGGAAGCAAAATTTTAAATTTGCGAGATGAATTCAAAAATTAAGGTTTAGAAAATGTCTGCCACGAAATTTAAATCATAATCACAATACAAGTCACATCGATAAAAAAATATCTACACGAAATATTTCAAAACCACGTGCTCAACTATTGCAAAATATCCAAGTTGAGCATAAAACACAGAAAAGCATAAAAAAATTGAGTGAAAAGAGAAGTTTTTGTATCTTCTCCCAGTCTTCTCTAACGCGCGCGGCCGTATAGACGTGAAAAAATCATAAAATTGTGCGCTTATTGATCAAAAAAATTAGCAAGAAGAAGACTTACAAGAATTTAAAGCCACGGGAGAGAATAAAAGATTTGCAAAATAAATTGGAAGAAAGTTGAGAAGAAAGAAGATGAATTATGACGACGTGTTGGTACATTTAGGAAAATTTGGTTCATATCAGAAACGAAATTACATTTTATTGTGTCTTCCGGTTATTTTGTGTGCATTTCATAAGCTTGCAGGTGTTTTTCTTCTCGGAACACCAGACCATCGATGTAGACTAGAAGGCGAACCAATTAACTCAACATTTAAACTCCCTGAAAGTATTGTAAATGTTTCATTCCCTTTCAATTCAAAAGAAAATTCATTTTCACGATGTGAATATTTCGCCGACAATTATTTTTCACCCAATGATTCATCGCATGAAATCGTCAAATGCTCGGATTTTGTTTGGGACACGTCAAAATATGAAAGTTCAGCAGTTAAATCATTTCATTTGATATGTGATCATAGCGATTTAAAACCACGATCAGATGCTTTGTTAATGGTGGGTGTGTTCATCGGAAGTTTTACTTTCGGTCACCTGTCTGATAAATATGGAAGGCGAATTGTGTTTGTTCTTTCATTAGTGTTTCAACTCATTTTCGGTGTTTTGATTGCCATAGCACCGGAATTCATCACATTTACAATCTGTAGAATGGTAAAAAAAAATTAACATGATTTACTTTAATTAACAAAACAAAACAGCTTCGCATTTTCTTCTTTTTCTTCTTTTTCTGTTTTTGCTTCAGATCGTTGGTGCAACAACCTCCGGAGTGTTTCTGGTTGCGTATTGTCTGTCTCTAGAAATGGTTGGAAAAGAATCCCGGATGGTTGCTGGTGTCACTTTTATGATGTTTTTCTCATCGGGTTACATGTTGATGGGTGGATTTGCATATTTTCTACCCGACTGGCGATGGTTTCAAGTTGCTATTACATTGCCTGGTGTGATTTTCTTATTCTACTGGTGGTTCATTCCTGAATCAACTCGTTGGCTTCTGGCTAACAATAGAAAAGACGAAGCGATTAATCAAATTCAAAGTATTGCAAAGTCAAATAATGTCGTCATTCCCCAAGATGTTCTCGATAAAGTCGTCGAAGCAGAGTCTGAAAGTGGATCAAATTCTGGCGGGTTAAATAATTCGAAGCCTTCAATTTTGGATTTATTCAAGACACCAAATCTAAGGAACAAATCATTGTTGATATTTTTCAACTGGTATGTGATATCTGGTGCTTACTATGGACTCTCGTGGAGTTCTGGTTCAAGTTTATCAGGCGATCCAATCATTAATCACGTTCTTTGTGGTGCTGTTGAACTTCCTGGATATATTGTGTTGCTTTTAACACTCAACCGATTTGGAAGAAAAAAGATTTTGTCAGGAAATTTAATTTTCGCTGGTACAACTTTGATTCTTTCACTTATTGTGCCTCAAAATAATCATTGGCTTGTGTTGGGATTGACTTTGCTTGGAAAAATGAGCATCACAGCAAGTTATGGCACAATTTACTTGTTTTCTGTCGAACAATTTCCAACAGTTATAAGAAATGTTGCACTTGGAGCGGCCAGCATGTCTGCACGAGTCGGTGGAGTTTCAGCACCTTACTTAATTTATTTATCTCAATTCTGGAAGCCTTTGCCGATTCTGCTCTTCGGAGTAACTGCATTTATTGCAGGATTTCTTTCAACCTTTCTTCCTGAAACTCACAACGTTCAACTCCCTGAAACATTGGCTGATGGTGAAAGACTTGGCAAGAATCTTTCTGATGTGAAAGCTCACGAACTTTCATTTCTCAACAAAAAAATGCCTAATGGGAACAATTAAATGATTTAACTTATCTTAAGATTGTCAACATAAATACTTAAATAGATTAGAAAACATTCCGCGACTTATCTTAGAATTATTCTTTTCTTTTATTTGTAAACGAATTTTAAGAAAATAAAACAGTTTAAAGCATAATTTTTTAAATTCATTTGAACTTGTTGAAATTTCATTTCAAGCGTAATTGTGGATTTAAAAATGCAAAAGGTTTGCGGAAATTTATAATTATGTTGAACAAGTAAATGTAAATCATCACACTCACTGACACAAAGAGTAGAATTTTAACAAATGTTTGAAAATCATCGTCATGTGTGCACCATAAGTTTAAAAAGAAGAAAAAGAAATGAAAAACTTTTGGCACACTGAAAGAAGAAGAAAAATTTAGGTCAATGAAACTTATTTTCATGTCTGCGTTTTTCTTTAAATTTTCTCAACAAGATTTGGTGCGTAGGTAAGTAAAGATTCATCTCAACATGAGCATATTCTAATTTAAGAACTCAAAGAATTTCATCACAAACGACACACACATCGACTGCAATCAACAAGTTTCAACGGCAACAACACCAATTAAATCTCAATGAATTTTTATTAAAACGCGACCAATTAATTGAGTTTCAAGTCATTTTATTTACTTACAAAATCGTCAACCTCAAGACTAGAGTTTGATTTTATTTTATTACAATAGAAAAAGAAAAAAAGTTCTTAAATGTATTCGTAGCGAGAAATTTATAGAATTAAATTATCAAGTCACTTATTAATTAATTAGAGAAATGCCCTCAATAACTCGAATATTAAACTAACTAAACGTTGTTCGTTCATAATGCTATCAGAAAATATCATCGAGGTAAATTAGGCCCAACTAAAGAATGTTAATTCGCCTCTAAACGACATTGATCATTGAGTTTTGTATTTTAATTCAAATATTTTCTTTAAATTAATAACTAATGAATTAATACAAAGCTATTTTGGTAAAATTCTTTCCTTAATTATGTTTTGTCTTAGCGCATCTTAAACATCAAGATAACATTTTTGTTCCTTTCATGCAGATTTCAAAGTCGAGCTTAATTAATCACAATGTGGTTAAATAAAGATTTAAAAAAATTAATTATTCTATGCTGATCCAGAACATTCATAATAATAAATTAACATTCAAATATTCACTAAGCGTATTGTTCCAAATTAACTGTGGTCTCGTATTGGTATTAAATGTGCTTCTGTGTTAAAAACGAACTTCTCCAAGTCGATTTCATTTCGATCGTCACTAAACAACAAGTAGAAGTATTTAAGTGTCTCGCCAAGCCAAAATGTCTCCATCATATCTTTAGGTCGAAGGTTCAAAGGCGTTTTAACATTACCAATGGACGTGTAGCCGTGCGTCACTTTCGTGTACTTTTCAAACGCTTGAAAAATCGTCCAGCCCATGTCTTGATACGTCTTATTGCCAGTTAGTGCATAAAAGTAATACAAACTTTCAACAAACTCCGGACGAAGCAAATTATGTGCGTCATTTGCTTTCACATAAATATCTGTCGAACTTTCACCTTCCAAATTGAAGTAAGCAATTTCAGGTGACAAATGTGTCGGTTGTTTCATGTAGATTTGATAACAAGTCTCAAGCAAATCATTGGCTAATGTTAGATGAGATTGAGGCATTCCATTCTTATAGCCAAGCAACAATGTTCCAGGTAAATAACATGTCAAGTGATCCATTTTTGGTTTGAAATCTTTTCCGCTTATCAATTCACCGACATACACGTGATGTTCGTTGGGAGTTTCACGTCTGAAAGTTGATAATAATTTTAGATTCGTTTTAGAGATATTGAAAATAAATAAAAATACGAAAATTACCTCAAATGTTTAATAACGCCAGCTATCGCTTCTTGATAATCTTCGATAAGATAATTATTTTCTTTTTTCCCAGTTTGAAGCCATTGCTTCAATAAATATTCGTAATATGAGTCGCCTCGTGCACCAAGCGAAATTGTTGCGAAATTTCTGAAGGTCCCAGTGTTGGCTGTTAAGTTTTAAATAAATTAACATGTTGAGAATTGAATTAAATTTAATTAACTCACCGTTTATGAAGATGGGAACGAGTCCATCTGTCTTTGGAAGATTATGAACTTTTTCACTGACTTTAGCAGCAGCAGCTTCATAAGAAGGATCGTTGGACACTCGAGATAAATCTCGAAACTCTAATTGAATTGTTGTGACTTCACTCGTCGACGAATCTGGTGACCATTTCGGTGCATGTGCTTTCATACTTTCAAGATTAACATCCGAATATGGAATGGACGAAGGAGAATCAAAACACGGCATCATTCGATTCCCTAAATCAATAGCTTTTGATAGGAAAACATCTTCACCTGTAAGATGATAGATTGACAAGAGTCCACCGAGAACACGGATTGTTGTTTCAAAAAGATTAACATCGCGATTTATATCGAGCTTTAATGATGACTCAACCCAACGTTTCGCTTCGTCATATTCTTCTTGCATGTCTGCAATGTATAGCGTGTCTAAAGCATCAATAATTTGTAGTCCCAGCCCAAACCAATCGCTGTATGATTGCGCTATTGGTTTAAGATTATCGTGTCCCCATGCAAAGTTTCGATAACCCGTCCATGAGTGTTTGATAGCAGCAACAACAGCTCGCTGCCTTTCATTCGTAGGACCCTAGAAAATAAATAAATATTTAAACAGGACTTCCACCAAATGAAACTTTTTCTTTAAATATTTAATTAAATTTAGAATGAAAATAGTTTTGTGCAAACATAAAAGAAAAAAAGAATCATTGAAAGTTCCCACCACGTTAAAGTTTAATTAATTACCTTAAAATTCAATTGAGTATTTGTTTCTTGAATTTGATTTTGAATATCTTTTGGTCGAATATGAGATTTTTTCTGATTGTCATGGTCAGTGTTACTCTCATCAGTTTTATCTGGATTGTCGAGGTTTTTCTTCACTTTGTTGGTGATTAATTTGTCAGCTCCTTCATTCATTGGACGAACTTTGTCAAACTCATCCCACTCTCCAGGTATTGGAAGTTGATCATCTTCCTGTTGAAATTGTTGTGGGAATATTGATGGAAAACCATCCTTTTTAAGTAGATATAATATCAGGAAGTGATTAAAGTGCGGATAAGAAGGATAGAAAAAAACGAACACAATGACAATTTGATTATGAGATTTTATCGCTGGAATTTGCCTCACTTTACTTACTTTTAATGGAACAATGTTTATTTTTTCATTAACTTTAATGATATGGTCTGATGGGGTTGAAGATCTGAAGAGATTTAACTTGTCTTGGCCTTGAATTAACACAACGATTGTGACAATGGCCGCACATATAATCACCAGGAGAAGATTTTTTTGAAATCTTGACAGTTGATTCCATTGCTAGAAAAGAAATATAAAAATGTGTCATCAAATCCAAAGATAATATTTGTACCTAAGTTTACTAATGAATAATAAATTAAATTATGTACGTGTAATAAAAATGTTTTATTTACCCTTTTAAAGCTTTTTTTACGCACAGAATCGTCCGACACTGACAACGAAATATAATCTCTATTTTCAAACATCTTATCACTTAGTTCATTCTGCTGTTAATGTGGCTTAGCAATTGAAAATAAAATTTAGGTTTATTTTCTTACGAGACGAAAAGTTGTGATTTCTGAGCCCCTCGTGTGCTATGCTTATTCTCAATAAACAAATTCGCTACCCTGTACTTACTTTCACACCCCGTTTTAAAAAGGTAAACAATACAAATATATTGTTTGAAGCCGATTCGGTTTTCAGTCCACAGCATCATTTAAAATTATTATGACAATGTCGAAAGAATTAGGGAAACTAGAAGAAGAAGCTTTAAAACGTAAGGAACGTTTGAAGAATTTAAAACGAAAGTTTGACGATCAAAAAACAGAAACAAATGGAGATGGACAAGAGAAACCTTCTGAAATTCCAAAGTAAGTAAAATCTCTTTAAATTGATTGTATTTAATTAATTTTGTTTATATTTAGACCAATGTTCCGAAACTATAAAAAAGACGACGAGAAGAAAATTACCGATGATCTCAAATTGCCGGATGTTGCGGAAATTGTCCAAGATCAGCTAGAAGAGATGAAGGAGCCACTTGTTGTGAATGACATTGACATATCCAATCTTGCACCCAGGAAAGTTGATTTCGATTTAAAACGAGCGATTAATAAAAAGTTACAGAAGCTTGAAAGAAAAACACAAAAGGCAATCGGAGAGTTAATTCGAGAGCGACTTGATAAACAAGACGATTTACTCGAACAAGTCAACATTGGAGCTCAAGAATCCCAACAACAGAATAATGATGAAGACTCTGATTAAATTTAGTATTAATAAAACTTTATTTTAATTGAAGCTTTACACTGGCATGAGTTTTTCTACGGCTAGTCTTGCTGACAAGATCACATCATTAACTCCAACTCCATCATACGAAGCTCCGCAAAGACTTAACGGCAGTTTATTATCTTCAATATATTTACGAATCCGTTCGACACGTTGATGATGACCAACAACGTATTGTGGGATGCAATCTTTTAAAATGTTTACTTTGTAATTATCTGGCTTTTCATGAATGTTTAAAATCTTTCCAACATTTTCCATTGCCACGTTAAGTAATTGAAGTTCATTTGGATCTTTTCCAAACCATTTTTCAAACCATTTTCCGCCACACATAATTGTTAGAACGGTTCGATCTTTCATACCAAAGCAACAACTGTCGAAGATTATTCCAAGGATTGGAAGATTTTCCATTGGCGGCACAAGCAATCCAAATCCTTGGTAATCTAATAAATCTTTTTTGTAATGAAGATTGATTACAGCAACGTCGACACATTTTATCATTTTCAGTTCATTCGATAGAATTGGATGTTGATGGCTAACAAGCTGTGAAAGTTGAATACTAGGCAATGAACTTATAACATGTTCAGCTTTATGAGTAATTCCATTGATCATAACTTTTGCCGGTCCTCCAGTTTCAAAAGTGATTTTCTTACAATTGGAATTCAAATTCAATGAAACTGATTCAGACTCTTCTAGTTTGTTTTCTAAAACTTTAGGAAGAGTTTGAAGACCTCCTTGTAATGTGTAAATTGACCATCTTTCGATTTGCGCTTTTCTATAAAGTGGTGTAGGCTGAAATGAGGGCGATTTAGTTCTTTCACTGCCGTTAAGCAAGAAATCTAAAATAATTCCTCTTAAAACGCTACCAAATTTTTGTTCTTTCTCAAATAAGTTTTTCATTAAAAATTTCACACTGATTTCCTTTGCATCACCTGCACAAATACCGCAAATCATTGAACTAATAGCGTAGTCTGCGATCTCCTTTCCAAATCTTCTTGATGTGAAGCTATAAATTGATTCGTCATCTAATCGTTTTTTCGATTTCCATCCAAAGAAATCTTTTATTGCGCCATAATATAAAGGCTTGGAGAATGGTGGATTAATTCTAAGAGCACCTTTGATATCAGAAGGCATTAAACAAAGTTTGTTCTTTACATAAATCATACGATTTTTAGCTGCAACATGATGAGCGGTTATTGGCCATACTTTATTTTCTAATTCAAGTAACTGGATTAATTCTAAAGTATTATTTCCAGCCAATCCCTTTGGTCTTATTGTCCTTGGTCCGGCTTCAAAGATGTACCCTTCTTTATCATTAATATCAGTTTTTATCCAACCACCAAATCTTGAACTTGCTTCATATAAATTTACTTTTGTAGTTTTTCGAACGATTGATAGATAATAAGCAGCTGTCAAACCACTTATTCCACCACCAAGTACTGTTATACTCATGATCTGATTAAAAATGATTATTTATTTATATTAAATTAGCTTTAACTGATGTTCAGAAGGAAATTTTGTAAACTTTTTGTTTATTTTTGAGAGGGGCTTTCAATCTTGGTTTCTCACAACTTCGCTTCAATTCTCACTTTTCGCTTCAATGATATCCTGAAAAAGTTTATAAACAAAGTGAAAAAATTATTTATTAATCAATAAGCTTTTAAAACGCTGAAAGAAAATAAGTTAAACAAGCTAATAAGCTACATATCATGGAGAAAAACGAAATGTTTGTTTAATTAAACATGAGTTTCTGTAGTTTTCTGAAAGATGACGACGAGGATTTTCGAGATGATTTTATAATTGACGATAGCTTTTCCAGCGATTATAATGAAGAATTCAGAACAAATTCAAGTTCTTCGTCAATAAAATGGTCAATTAATGCAAGAAAGCAAAATGAGGAAGATTGGCTAGAGATAGAAAAAATTCTTTATGGAGAGGAAAAATTACCTGAAGGTTTGCATATCGATCAGAATTTTTCCTTTATTTACAAATATTTATTCGCGTTCTTTTATTTAGATGAAAAGACTAGAGAAGAATTTGAGAGTTGGAGGAAAGCCTTCCCTCATTTAAGGTAATAAAACATTATTCAATAATGCGAAACAAATTATTTATCTAAATATGAAATTACAGAATTGTTGGAAAGAAAATCGATTTGCCAGCAAAAAACATCAGAAATCCATTTGACTATGTTGATGAAATAATTGCAATAGATCCGCCTGTACATAAATATCACAGTGAGCCTTTTAGAATGTTAGATCATGAATTAAATGAGAAACTAAGCATTAGAAAAGCACGTCAACCAAGTGGAATGAATCAATCTCGGACAGAAGATTTAGAAAAACTTCTTCGCATTACATCGTCTGGTTTAACAAGGACACAACAGCAACAATATGAACGACCACAATACAGTAAAAAAGTCGTTGACCGTACGTCTACATTTTTTATTAAACAAAACAGTTTGGGGAAAAAGTTATCAAAGATTCAAGAACACAAACAATTTGAAATGAGTCCATCAGTTGTTCAATACTCGAAACGTGAATTGGATAACAAATTATCTTATTCCGCATCATCATCTTCAAGAATGGTTCCCAAAGTAAATGTTAAATTTCTATGTAAGAAGCCAGACGTCATTGATGACGTAAAATCAGTCAAATCGGCGTCGAAGCTTCCGCTTTATGCTGACGTTACAAACTATCAACCATATAAACAACCAAAACACGAAATGTCATCAAAATCGGCGTCAATTCATCATCATAAAATGAATCAAAATACAATTCAGCTACCACCATTCAACTATGACTTAGATTTTCCAATCATACAAGGTCGTGGCTATAACAATCAAAAATCCTCAAAATTCACAAAGCACTAAAAAACTTTTTTCCTTTTTTGCGATGTTGCTTTTTTAACTTTTTTCATGAAAAAAACTCTACGTTTAATAAATTATTCATTACTATGCTTGTTTGTAGACACCTTTTTCGTATCGTCTGTGATAAAAATAAATGTAAATAAAATCGATAATAAATAGAACTCACTCTGTAAGGAAACAATTGTTATCTTTTATTATGAATTTCTAAGGAATTAGACTTCGTGATGTCGTGAAGCGGCAGCGAGAATTTCCTAAACAAAAAGAACTATTCTGATAATTCACGAAAGAATCAGGTTTAGGAAAAAGAAAACAAAAAAGAGCTTCGAAGGAAACAAATTTCTCACATTTTTTTTTCAATTTAATTTTTATTTTCATAGATAACAAAACTTGGACATTTTTTTTCTCACTTTTAAAAAGCGTCCGCTAAGAAAATTTAATAAATAATTTTTAATAATTTAGAACTTTAATTTACCTATTAATTATTCTTTTCTTTTGTTCTTTACATTAATCTTAAGAGATTTTTTATATTATGTTTGTCATCTTAATAAAAGTTAATATGCATCAATTAATTTACAACATTTAGAGTTTACTTTACGATTTCTTTGCTATTTTATGACTGCGCAATAAAAAATGTTTTCATTTATTTTTTATATTTTCATTTTTTCCTCAAATCTAAAAAAAACTTAAACACTTTTACTAGACAATCTGTCAATAAATTAATCTACTGTGGTATTTAGGATTTTAGAATTTCTATTGCACGAACCGCGTTTCCTTTTATTATAAAAGTCGTTTTGATGATTCATTACTTATCATGTTTTGTTGAACACATTATTTGCATGAAAAAGGTTTTTTTTTCTTTCTTCCTTTCTTCTGTTGTCATGGGTGGATGCGATTTATGTAAAAAGTTCACATGATAATTCAGGATACGCGAGTTAGAGTGAAGGAATGAAAATCGATAGGAAGAAAGTGTCGTTTTTAACTTTAATAATTGAGAGAATGATAACAGCATAAAAATAAATCTACATCATTTTTAAAACACAGATAATAAATAATTAATAAATTTGTTTTAGATTCTCTAACAGAATTATTCATTTTTGCCTGTAGTTAAATAGCATCATTTGGATTTAATTCCATCTAAAAGCTTTTCTCGTTTCTAACAAAAAACACAGATTCTTATATGAAACATCATCAATCAATCAATCTATACTCGAAGAGTGAAACAAAAATATATTTCATTGAAAATAAACACATGGCTGATAGATATTTGTAATTCCAATGAATTTCTGAGTGACGGTGTAATGATCATTATAAATATTTTATACATGTATGATATTAGCAAGAAGAAGCAAGCTAACACAATTTCACAGAGCGCTGCTTTCGTTGCATTTAAATACGCATATTTCTCTATTTCATGTTTTTTAATTAACACAAATTTGTGTACTTTCTTAGTTGATCGCTCAGTTAATTAATAAAACATGTTCTTCTTCTTCTTCTTCCTTGTTATAATATGTAGAATGGAATGTTGAGCATCATACAATTGTCAAAGTAATCGTTAAACTTATATATTTTTTTATGTTTATTCATAAATTATACAATAATAATAATAAAAGGTTTAAGACAACACATTCAGATCTAAATTCATGTTAAATCAAAATCTATTGATTTAATTTCATTTTTATTTGAAATGACATCGTTCAATAATATTTATCACGATAACATTCACGTTTTAATGAAGAATATTATGATTACTTCATTCTGCTTTCGTTTACATGTCAAACACATTAAAGTTATACAATTTGAATAGCGAAAAAGAATTTCTTTTATCAACGATTAATGTGATGCAATATTTTTGTTTCTTTTTGAGATGACATTCGATTTATAGCATTTTTTCTTCAATTAAAAACCATAAATTTGAATGAATCATCTTTTGAACCTGTAAATTTACACTTTTATAAGTTTCCAAAAAGTTTCTCTGATGATTTCCATTATGAAATTTCTTATAAAAACAACTGCAAGTAACCAACAAAGATTCCAAGATGACTCATAATCATTCAAAGAATTTCTTGTGAGAAATATAATTTGAAAGTGTTTTAATTTAAGAATTTAAAAAAAATCTTGATGTTTGATTGTATAAATTTTCTTCTCAGATTTTTAAACTTTTGGTGGTTTTTCATAATTTTCTTTTCTTTAAATGATTTGATTATACCTTGAAATTTTCACTCATTAAGTGTTCAATGTTAAATATATCTTTAAATAGATTTAATTCAATATGATTGTGTGTAGCAGACCTTCTGATGGATCCAAATTAATTTTGATTTATTTTCTTCTCTCTTTTTCATCAAAATTATTTTTTTGTTTTTGATATTTGATGGAAATATTTTTGAACAATCTTCCGAAATAATATCGAAACAATTTATTATGACAACTTAAGATAAAATTAAGTGTTGAAATATTTGTACTCTCAAAAAGTCTACAGCCACACATAGATTTGCGTTTCTCGGCTCTTTGAGGGAAAAAGAAATTTTTTCTTACCTTAGCTAATAAATATCAGAGGATCAATAAACGTAACTCATCTCAACTGAAAGATTAAAATGTTCAAATAAAACAACTCATAAAGATATCTGCGCAAACTTAACAAATTTTACAAATTGTATTCAACAAAAAATAATTCTTTAAACAAAACTTAAGATTGCAAAGATCTGGAAATAAAATAATAACAAAAAGAAAATCTTCTAACATCAAATGACTAGAAATTATTTAACTTGAACTGATAATAGGATTGAAAATTTTTTAAAGCGGAATGGTGTGGGAAAGTTCTTCAAAAATATCTTCAACAAATCAACGAGGCTCATTTTGTTATAAAAAAATGTTTTTCTCAATTCAATTTCATGTATAACGTGGATGATTTTGAGCACAAATTGTCAACGATGACGTAATGTTAGAAGTCTCATTGTAAATCGAGTTATTAAGCGACGACAAAGTGCACTGGTGTGCTTTAAAAAATGTACAACATTATACATGAAAGAATTAGATGTTGATGCGCCTCATCAAATATCTGAAAGAGAAGAACAAGAGAAATAAAAAGAAATTGATTGAAAATAAATTATTGATGAACTCACAGCTATAGGGACCATCAGTAAGGGCGCTACACAGCAATAGTCAGGAATTGTCATCTTTATTTGTGCCACCTCCGCCTACGGCTCCTGCTTGACTGTTGTTCTGACGACCTACGCTGCTAACTATATTTCCTGTGTTGATTCCTGTAGGTCCGCCCGTATTTTGAGCATTAGCAGCACCAGCACGTGTTTGTGATGGTTTATATTCGAGGCCGGGATCGAATTGCATCAATACAAAGACCTAAACGATTATCAAGTCATTTTCTGAACAAAGTTCGATTAATTCTTCTCTTACCTGATCAGTTGGCAGCAAAGAAAAGTCATCAGGTGGATTCGTAATTACATAACGTTTACTACTAGCATCACAACTCGAACTGGTATCACGAAACCTATACAGTCCAATGCAAAGCATGCCGTATGATTTGAGAGCTGCTACAAATAAATCTCCATATTTTCCAGTTTCTCCAAACTGTGCAAGTGGACCATCGTAGAGAGATATTTGTCCAACTCGACATCTTCATAAATCAAAAAGAAGAAATGTGAATTTATCACTTCCATTATCAATAATTGATGTCAATCTTACCGATCTCGATTACTCAAACTTTCTGGCGTGCTGTAACCACCACGAAGACCTGCACCTTCAGCTAAAATCAGCTCCAGTTCAGGCGTGGCACCGCCAGTAATTAATGAACGAATTAATGTTAAGGCGTTTTGATTAAAATATGTCTGAAAGATAATTTCCATTAGCAATGGTTAAGAAGTGACATAATTAAGAAGACTTAAACTCATACCGTTGACATCAATGAATCTAATACACTAACGGCAAAAGCTGTACCGCATGCAAACGGTTGAGTTAAGTAAAGTTCTGTATCTGGATCATCGTCATCATCTTGATCAAGAAATTGTACATTGCTGTCATTCACCAGTTCTATGATGAATAAAAAATGATTAATTTAATTACTAAATGAAGATTAATGAATGAATTAATTACCAGTAATCATCGGTACATTCGCTCCATAAACAGAACCACGACGTTGAAGTACAATTGGACTTCCAACTGGTGTTAGATTGTCTTGTTCACCTCGTTGACTCAACACACCGATTGTATCATCGAATGTCATAGCTTTAATGTTAAGCGACGCTAGAATGGCTTCTTTGTCAGCAAGCGTTGGATCATCATTCGATGGGACTTTAGCTGACAAAATGCAACACATATCACATAAATTAACATTGACGGCACGCAAATCGGCGCGACTAAGCGGTGATCCCTATCAAATAATTTATTCATTTATAAATTAAAATGTCACAAGTAATCATTGTAAACATGTTGAATAAATAAATGAAGAAGAACTCACGTTAAGCACAGAAATTTTCGGCAAATTTTGTAACATTTTCCACTCCCTACGAATGTAATCAACAGAACCAACAATAACAACATGTTTCAGTTCGTGGTAATGAAAGTTTGATGCGCGCAAAGGCATGACTAAATTTCTGAGACCGATGAGTGGTGAATCGGGATCGGCGAAAAGGCAAACCACCACGTGTCCATTGAGAACAGTCATTGCTGCTTGATTACGATCTAAAATACAGTCTTCGAGACTCCTTGCCGGACTCCAATGAAACATTCCCGTCGAATCATATTTCATTTCTGTTTTCTCAAAATCAAAATCTTTCGATTGATCATCAGCAATGCCTGCTTGAAGTGTAACACCATTCGGATTTTGAGCTCCTGAGCTACCACCTCGAGCCGTCGGCCTTTAAAAGTTTTCATATTTTCATCAATTAATGTTTCACATTTAAACTTTCATACAATAATTTAAATAAATTAATAACTACATTAAGTTGAAGAGTTGTTCATAAACATTAATTTGGCAATTACAAACTCTTCAATAAACTTTTGAAAGCGCAACACAAATAATATTTATGAACATCGCTTCAAGCATTGAAAGAAATCATAAACTCTTACAAATTAAAACCAACGTCTGTTCAATGAAAAATCATATTTATCAGGCTCTCAAAAGATGCACATAAAGTATGCTCTGACCACGAAAAATAGCGGCATAAATAATGAGATTTCATAATAAGTAATAAAAGGTGAGTACAGGGAAACGATAAAACTGTCATTGCTAATAATTAATACTACAATCACAAAAACGTCAATTAAACGGCGCAAAAATTATTTTTAATTAACAAAAAAGAAATTAGAAAAAAAGATAAAAAATTAAGAACAAAAGATGTCTGAAAATGTCTTATCGTACATTAGCTTTTTGACTTCATATGCAAGTTGATATCCCGCATACGGACTCGCTTCTGTTTCCGCAGGTCTGAGTGAGATAGCGCAAATTCAGTTACACAAGTTACACGAATTTGTCGCAAATGTTCAACATTGTAATATTTTTTTTGATCATTTAAAAGTCAGCAAAAGAAAAAGAGAAGAGAAAAAGTATTCATTAAACTTTTCACAAATGACATGAAGCTCGCAATTTAAGTTGATAAAGTTTTTGAATTAAACATGAAAATGAAACATGACTTAAAATAGCCCTCAAGTTTTTAACTTTGAATGCAACACTGCAAAGCATTTTTTCTTTAAATAACATTAACGTGTTTAAAATCTTGTCATAAAAAACTCTTTGAAGTTTTTTTTATTTTATAAATTATCAGTGGTTTTGCCAGTTGCTTACTTCATTGTGTAAAGCATTCTGGCTTCGCCTCTGAGGTAACTTGTAAATAAATATCTGATGAGAACGAAATAAATTTTGATGTTACTTACCGATTGTAAGATGATGGCGACACAATGACACCATCTGGTATTGGTGGTCTATTTACATTCGGCTTCACCTTGTTAACTTGTTTGGTTTGAATTGAATTCAACATTTGATTTGAATTCAACATTTGATTTGATCCAACTGATGGCATTCGACGATTTCGATTGATGACTGAAATTGAATTAATGTTTAAAAATATTAAAAGAAATATTTCGACATTCGTCAAATGATTCTTTTTGTGATATTTATGATGGCAGTCATCAAAAAGCAATTTATTTATTTATATTTTATCAAGAACAAAAAGCAAAAATTATTTCTAATTAAACTTTTAACTCCAATCTTAAGCCATCTTCTACATCAATTAATTTCTTATTTAAATCTACTTACGGTTAATCTCTTCACGTTCTCGAGTAATGTCCCCTGTAATCATTGACAGCGTGATTTAAATTTAATGAGAAAAGGAGAGAAGAAATGACATTTAAAAAATGTTAAGCTCAAATTCGAATTCTTCATGAAACTACGAAGCTATGTCGTGATGGTTTTAATGCTACGTATCTATGAAAGTGCTACAAATCATAATTTAGAACCAATGAGTAATAAAATTTCAAATATTTTTCACAAATCTAATGATTGCACAGACAAAACGCTCATAAAGAAGTCATTTGGTTAAAGAATAAATAATCGTGAGTCTCAATGATTTGAATGAAGTGGAATTAAATCACATCGTTATCAACTGATAAAAATAATTTCGTTTTCTTTGACAACATGAAGCAATAAATGTAGAGAATTATTGAATTTGGTTACCAGTAACTCCGCGCACATGGACTCGTTTCGGAAGTTCAGGAGGTGTGAATGTCGGTGCTGCGGGGTGATCATCTGTAAAATGTTTTAACCATGATTCATTGTTCGAATGACACTTTAGACAAAAACAAGTTAAATAATTTGATCCTAAGACAAATTGCTTCATAAACTACTTTAAACTTGGAAAATTTGTGATTTGATTTACAGCTAAAAGCGAGGTATGTTTGCAGTTGACAAATGGATTGTTGTTTAGTAACAAAACAGATGAAAAATAAATTTAAGAATGAATAAATTAATCGTAAAAATATTTTTATTACTTAACAAAAATTTCAATTTTATCAAAGATTATTTAAAACTTGATTATTAAACTTATTAATTATTTCAAAAAAATATTTTTACGAAGAAATTTTAAATTTGATTAAGAATACAAAACAAAGACTTATAGTAACATCAATAGAAAATATTCTAAACATTAATCTTAATTTATAACATAGAGAGTGAAAACGATTAGAAGCAATGACAGTAAGCTGTAAAAATGCTGTACAAAAGTTACATTCAGAACATCTAAGCATCACATTCATTGAACAAAGAAGACTTTTCCAACACTAATAAGCGAAATTATAATGAATTAAAGTTAAACAGAACCAAGTGTGTGTGTATATGGTATGTGTTTAAGAGAGAAGATGAAAAGTTAGTTATAGTGAAGTAAGTGTAATCTCAAGTGTAGCTGTTTAATGGTTTTATAACAATTTTTTAATCCTTTTAACTATTTCACCTCCAACACGTCCGATAAAAGTCTTTCATTGACTTATTTAAAATATCGTAACAAGAATACTTAAGAAACAAAGCAAGGGGTAAAAGCAGGTTCGTAGCTGAAATCTATTCGTAGCAATACTTTATTAATCTGATTGATTTCATTCGTGAAACATTCGACTTTCTGCAGGCCAAAGAAAAGTGGCTTTCAACAATCAATGTCAGAGGAGTGTAAAAAAAATTCTTCTTGCATAAAAATGAATTAAAAACAGCACCAAATAAAAGAAATTTTCTTTAAAATTTTCAATTCATTCGCTTTGATGCGAAAAGTCCAATAAACTAAATGCTCAAACGATACCTGATATAACTTTTAACTTATATTTAATTTAATATTTAACTAACATCATGGCACAAATTGTTTCCTAATCTAACTCAAGAAATAAAAGACAATGAAAGCATTTTCTATACTTAGTTGAATTTTATTAAAAAGTAATTTTCATCTTTTTGCATTTGATTGATGTTTTTGATGTTCTTTAATTATTAATTAAATTGAATATATATAATTTTGAAAAAAGAGAATGTTTACGACTCTATCACAATATTTACGAAAAAAAAAGTTGAGACTCAATGAAAGCTTTTTTCTGTGCTTTTCTTTCATCATCTAGAAATATTTTGAAAGCTCTCTTTTGACCAAAAGCTTGGATGATTTTATGTCCAAGACATTGATCAAAATAAATTTAACTTCCTTGTTCTTCAAAAAAAGCATTCACGAGTTATTAAAAATGAAGTGGAGCAATAAGGCAGTGAAAAATTCTTCAACTTATCAATTCGATCACTGCCCTATCCACTCTTCAATCAACATTTGGTGTTCAACATATTTTTGTTATCCATTAATCTACCGAAATGTATCACTTTCATATACATATTCATTCAACCAATTCAATAAATGAAAAAAGAAAAAAAAAAGATTTACGACATTACAGCATTTTGATTTGTTTTGATATACTTTTTGGATATAAAAATACGTACTTGATGGACTTATTAGTTTTGATGGAGAAGGAGGAGCTCGAAACTTTTTCCTCAACAAAGCCACTATAAACACATGCAATACAAAAACAAATTTTGATAAGTCACAGAGTCAAAGGGTGGAGAACTTTTTTTTTTTTTGGTTTGTTTTTATCAATGACAGACTTTAAGGTTCGATGAAGGATTTCTGAAGATATTACACAATAATTAAGTTGGATTATTGGAGGGATACAAAGAATAATTTTGATGAGCTTTCAATATCGTTTTAAAGTTGGTTTTGTGGTTTCAACCTTTCATTTCTCTTCACATAACTTTCCATGGGCGTTACACTTGATAGCTAAAAACGTAATTAATATTAAAGAAGCTAGCTGTTCACATCGCTGACGACAAATAAGAATTTTTATGTATTATTTTCACATTGACACCAGTTTTTATTTATTAATTCACCGCTACGACAAACTTGTAAGCTTACGTAAATTATGGAGCTTTCTCATCTAACACCAGAACAATGAATGTTTTAATTTCTGTAATTTTTTAGTTCGTGTTTTATTTTGACACGTCAACGTCACAGAAGTTTGTCTTGAGAATGGAATTATTCGAAACAATAAAAAAAAGTTTTAATCGCAGTTTCTATTAGAACACATGTTAACACATGAACTTTATGAATTAATTTATGTAGTCGTAATACTTTCCATTCTCAAAGTTTTATTTTTTTTAATCAGCATAAAGTATAATTTTGATTTGCAATGAAAGAAGTAAAATAAAAGGATTTAAAAATAATTTAGCGTTAACACATTGAGCGATTGTGATTTGGGTTGTTGAATCAATAAAAAAATATGTGCTCAAAGAGACGATAGAGATATATGAGAAACATATTTTTTTTAATGTAATTTTACTGTTTTGTAATTTTTATCTAAAAGCATTTTCAATTATCGTACCATCAAATGCTTTAAATGGTGAAGTAAAATCTACGCTTTGTTTTACCATTCCCGACTGCATCATCATCATTCCCACGTCTGAAAAGCCCAATCAATATAAATTTTAAAAATGTAATCAAAAAACAATGTAAAAAATTAAAATCAAAGTTTTTTTTCGGTTAGATTTTTGTTAAACACAAATGACGGACGCATGGTTAAGACTCAGATGTTCTCGCAAATTTCTCATATTTATGTTCATACAACATGATGCATTCTTCTGCAATAAGATATAAAAAAGAATTTTTCTTTCCTTCCTGGTTCATTGTGTAAATTGTCATGTTTTATGTAGGAAAAGAATGTTGAAATATCGAAATAGAATAAGGGAAAATAAAACTAAAAGAGACAAAAAGAAAACTCATTGAAAAGGTCAATTAAAAGAACCAAAAATGAATTAATGGAATCAGTAGAAAAGGCTAGAGAGAGAAGGACGCATGCTGTATTAAAATTAATTTACTGTCAACTGATTCTAAAATGAATTAGAAACGAAAAATTATTGAAAAGAAAAAGAAGTTAACATAATTTAATAGGAAATTCTCATGACGACAAAAGTTTGTTGAAAAGTGCGCTTGTATACTTTATTACAAATCAAGTGGCCAATGTTGTTTTAGAAATTTTCTTGCTTTAGCTCCATAAGATAAGCTAAATAATTGACAATGGTTTATATACAAGTGTTATGAAAGAAAAGAAAAGGAAAATAAACGAAATAAAATGGATTTAAAATATACAACTTCATTCCAAAACATCATCTATGGAATCGTTTCAGTGAGTTTTAGATCAAAGCAAATGCACCATAACCAGATATATCAATAAGAAGATATTCAAAATAATTTTAAATCTGAATGTCAAAGACAAGATGTTAGTTGTTTTGTACATGAGAAATTTTACATTCCATACAGATCCACGCTAATGTTCTCATATATGCAGTGAATTTAGTTTATTAGGCAAAATAATTGAAAAAAGGTTTAAAACAAAAAGAAAAATTAATTAAAGAATCAAACTGAGTTCACAACTCTGAGTATTGAAGCGTTTTATTTCTGAGCGAGAACACAAAAAAAAGATATTCCAAAGTGAAATTGTGAGCATTAATTTTCATTAATTGTTCATTTGAAAAAAGAATTTAAAAAGTTTTTCTAAGAAAAAATTTCGTGTTAAAAGTTTCTGATCATATCAATGTCATTCAATAAAAAGGATTGTGTGTACTTTAGAGAATATGAAATAAAATGCACCAAAATATTCACAAAATGTCGGTAACTAGTTTTGTTGATAATCTAGTTTTGATTGTTTACCTAGCTCATCATATTTCCTTGCTTGCGCTGTCACTGTCAATTCAATGTGTTACATACAAAAATTATTTAATTTTGTTTAATTTTAATTTTTTGTCTTTTCTTCGGCATCTGATATGAGTCTTGAAGTTAAATGTTAGTTAACCGTATTTGTTTTGTTAGATATTTATAATTAAAACTCTTTCATGTAATCTGAGTAAATATTAAAGTTTAAAAATATCAACAGAAGAAAAGAAAAATTTAATTTCAAGAAATCAAAACATAAAAACCAAAAAAATTATATTCATAGCTTTGGTTATGATTAAGTTAGCGAAAGTTTTGCATCTTAAAGTTATTGCTTTAGAATTTAGTATAATTAATTGATACCTTTTCCTTTTAGATAGTTTTTAAATGCACATCAATTTTTACATGGTTAATTATATTTATCCAGAGAGCAGTAGGGTTACACTTATAACATATTAACAGGAGTTCTTATTATTATTTTATGTATAATTGCATAATTAATTGGGAACACAATTAAAGCTTCAAATTTGTTCAGTCAGAGAAAATCAGTTCATTTTATATATTTAATTGAATTAAGCTCCGAAAGCGTCAATTTAACTGTCATAAGATCAATCACATGTTTTTGTATGACGTTCAGCAATTCATTTTCTTTCGACGTTATGAGAGAAAATAAAAAAGCTCTCAAGTTAATGAAGTGAAGGTTTTTCAGTGGAAAGCTTAAAAGACGAAGATTTTATTTTTGTTGTGGCAAGTATCAGGGTTAATAAAGATTATCGATCGAGGCTTGAAAATATTATTTATATTTTTTTTCTTTTCTTGAAAACATTTATTTGGTTATTATATGAGCGAGGAAGGGATGTGATGAAAGCATACTTACAGTTTTTGCATTTGCACTTCTTGATGAGCGTTTCGTCCTTGATGTCATCGTGACAAGCTTTACAGTAAAACCACGCTCTAAAATATTTATAAGTCATCCTTGAGAGTTTCGAAGCATAAATTGATAAATCTTAATTATTACCGTTTCACTTCATCTGCACTTTGCGCTATAAAGAATCCTTGTGTGTTTGCTTGAATTTTAACTCCTCGAGGATTTATCGAAATTTTGCTGTCATTGCCTTCATCGCCACCTTTAATCTCAATCGCCAGAAGAAGCAACTTAAGTTTGGTGAAACAAAGCCTGTTAAAAATATGAAAAAATTATCAACTTAAAATCTTTTAAAACTTTTGTTGATGACAAACGAGAATGACAAACATAAATAAAGTTTATGCAACGGAGAAAGGATGAATAAATCAAGTTCAATAAAGATTTCTGCAAATACAATTGAACTTGATTTATATCCTCTTTTATCCATGCAACAAACAGCAATATCAGCAGCTGCAATAAGGCAAACATGCAGTTTTGTTAGTGAACTCATGAGGTACACAGATGAATTAATTAATTAATTTTTTAGTGAAATTTATTTAAAAAGGGATATGAATGTGTAATGAAATTATCCCAATATCAGCTGAATTGACTTTTTAAAGTAAAAATATTAAATAAGAATATTGGAAAAGAATTTTTTGTGATTTTTTAAACATTGATGAGATAAATTTCAGTGAAAATATGTTCGTGTGAAAAAAATAACGAATTGAATTATCAAATCTTACTCGCTGGCTTGTGGAAAGGTCATTCCAGTAAAAGAAGGTGAAAGAGTTTCTGTATACATCTCACATCCGGTACCTTGAAGATAATCATTTTGCCATATTTGCATGTCAGGTGACTAGAAAGAGAATAGCAGCCATACACAAACATTTATAATGCAGATCATGAAGAGATAAAACATAAAATTTGATAGAATTAGATGAAATTTGATATCTCAAATAATTTTGATGTTGCTTATCATCAGTCATCACATATTTGATTGATTATTGTAGCGTTCTCAGTTGTTTGATTCATGTTCAATTCAAACAAGTTTTCTATTTATATAATAAAGATAGAAGTGAAACATCAATAGCAAAAGAAAAGCGTCTTAACATTTTACATTTTCTTTCTTTTCATGTTTCCAATTTTTCTTCGAAATGACAGAAAATCAAAGCCAAAAAATTAAAAAATATAAATTTGAAATGAACAAAAGATGTAGAAGGAGTTGTGGATTTATGCTTTTTTATGAAGCAAAAGCTCTTGGTTTTCTTTTTGACAATCATAGGCTGACAGTTTCTTCATTATCTTTTACACAATACCACGAACATCGACATTATTTACAGTCTCAACTTTATCGTTTTCTGATGTTTGAACTTACTCGGTCGCACTTGAAAATTTCATGCCGATAAATGAAGGACTTAAAGTTTCTGTATACATTTCCATTCCTGTACCTCTCAGATAGTCATTCCACTTTTGCATTTCAAGTCGTTCTGGCGACTATCAATTATTCATCAATCAATATAGAAATTTAATGATTTCAGTTTGAAATTCAAAAGAAAAAGTTTTTGTTTAATTCCCTAGTTGTATAAATTCAATGGAAGCTTCTTTCATGACAAATAAAAACTCAAGACAATATATGTAAATAGGATGAATTAGAAAGAAAGTAAACTTACAGTTTTGAACGATCTCATGGCAAACAAATTGGCCATCATTGTTGAGAAACCAGGTGCTAAACAACTCTGAGCAATGAAGCCTAATTTTAATTCTGCTAAACAAATAACATCATCACCCTGTTTCCAGTCCCAAGATGGAATATTTAATAGATAAGCCTACATTGATGATGACGGTTGTTGTGTTAAAGAAAAAAAGAGAAATGAATATAAAAATGTTCACCTTATTGTGGTATTGCATAAGTTGAATAATAACGCGAATGTCGTCACTGTAATTTTTGATTGAAATGACACGCATTATGTTGGCAGCATCTTCAGCATCAGGATCTTGACAATATTTATTTGCTAACACTAAACAGGCATCAGCTTCATGAACCTGAAATTATCACAAGTCAAGTTAGTATAAAATTTGTATGCATGAAAATGTTTACAAGAGTTCAGCTTTGGTGTTAAAACGCTTCATGAATTTTTTTCTTAACGTCACAAAGTTAAACTTTTCTAGTTGTATGTACAAAAATTTACTGGAAAAACTCTTCATTTCATGCAAGTGTCGACTAAGTACGTAATACTCTTCAACTCAAATGCTACACTTCTACAAGTCATGCTTGGGATTTGTTATTACAAACTTTATGCTGTTGTTGATCTACGTTTAAACATGCCTTTAATTATGATTATTGACGTGAAATGAACAAACAAGTGAAAAGTTTTAATTTTTAAGATATTTTGAAAAGTTTTCTTATTATTTTTAAATGTTTTGATTACAATTTTCCAGCATATTTATGAAAAGAAAAACTTACAGTATTGATTTGTGGTAGTTTCTTTTTTTATTGTAATTGTAATTAGATTGATTAAGGAGGTGATAGAAAAAATATATGTGACGGTTATTTGAAAAGTGTGTGAACTTACCCTCAGAATGGAAGGGATAGAAAAGAATTTTAAAGGAAAATTGACTTGAAACCTAAATTGGAGAAGGGCTGTGAAGAGACTTAACTAAGTTAACTCGGTGACTAAAATCAGGCCTCGTATATAAGTCAATTTCTGAGATGCCCTCCCAAGTGATAACTAAATATCGTAAAAAGGTTTCAACATGTTTATGTACACTAGGCGATCATAGATATATTCATTTTGTAAATATATTTATGCAATAGCATTATCGGCACATCAACTGAGTGTATGAAACTCAAAGAAAAACAAAAACAAGAACATAAAATAAATGATAGCGTTATTAGCGTACGAGGACAGAGTTAGGGATGAAACGTAAAGTATAATCATCAATCCAAAAGAATAATACGGACATCATCAGTTAAGGTTTATACAGGTCTATTATTGGTTTCTCACAATTTTTAACTGTTTGGTTTTTGACTCAAGGAAAACATTTGATAGTTGGTTATAAATCAAACAAGTGTTTATTACCAGTTTCACAATAAACAACAAACACCCATTTAAGTGTCATTACAATTTTTTTCAATGTTCGCACACAAAATCATGTGCTACTGGTGATGAAAAACAATTGTAATTGCACTTAATTTAATTTATTATATTTATTTATTTCTTAATTAATTTTAATTTTTGTTTTGTGAACCATTCTTGTTTATTCTTTACCTTGACTCGTTGTAAATCAATTGGGTTCATAATTGTTCCTTGAAAGAATTCCACGGTTGTAAAATGACGCTTGAATAGACCTTCCAACTCCAAGTCAGGCGGTTTTCTTTAAGTTTTGAGTCAAGTTATTTTAAAGATAACAAAAAATGTTTTTCATAACATTTTTAAGTTCGTTGAGTTCAGAAATTGTTTGTTTGTGTTTTCAAAGGGAAACATTTTGAATTTTGTTTGTTTAATTTCATAATTAGTTAATTGGATGCCAGGATCAACAATAGTAAAAGAATAAACATGAAAAAAAGGAAGAAAAAAAATTAAATTGTCATTTAAAGAATCTCTAAAATTGCTCCGTTTATGTATATAAAAAATAAGTTTATCATGATTCTCGTTAGGTTTGTTTACGATGTTCTTGATATTATATGTTGGTAGGAGCTCCTGATATCTGGCGTTGCTATGTGATCGTACAAAAATCATCTGAGTGGTAGTTTAAAGTTTTGTGTTGAAAATATAGATTGAACTTTAACTATAAATATGCTGTAACATTTTATGCGAAGTCAAAACATATCTTCGGAATGAAGAAATGTTTGCATTTCGCATTGTGTTAGATTTTATTTAATATTTTTCGTTTAATCTTCTAAAATGTTTAATATGTGAAAGCCTAACATGCAAATATTTGAAAATTTAAATTAATCTAAAATGTTCTAAGAAAAGAAAAATCCGAAAAAAATTCAAAAGCTCTCTCTATGTATGAATATTTAAGAAGTAAAAGTGAATCTTTTATAAAATTGATAAATATTTCACATCTTTGCTTATTCTGCCCACAAAAGCTTTTGGCTTTTTGGTAAAATAAACATGCTTGCCAATATTCAAGAAACTTTAAGTGGAACTTGAAGAAGTAGGAAAAGGTTCAGAGACTGTCAGAAATTTCTTTTTTTTTCTATGAGAACGGAAAGCTTTGAGTATTAAATTGAAAACTCATATGGTAGTTACTTGATATATGAAACATTTGAGCTTTCTACAAATTTAACAAGATTATGCAGAAAATCTTTCCTAATGTCGTTTGACTGCAGTCTAAGCTAGAGAATAACAAATTCATGTAAACTTGTTTAACTTTTCTTCTCTTTTAAATAAATTCCATTCATAAACGTCCAAATGATGTCTTCCAATTTTATAAACACATATAACAAATAAAAAACATTTCTGCATAATCTTGAATCACTACCAAAGGACGTTAAAAATAAATTTCTTGACGAATAAGTATGACAGCAATGTCTTAAAGAAATTATTTATATTGTCATTCAAAAATAAAAACGTAAAATCATTCCACATATTTACAAAACTTTGAAAATATTCTTCTTAAGTAGTTTAGAATAATTGACAAAAAAAATGATGCAGCGTTTAACGTGATATACAAAGTAGAAAAAAGATGCTGTTAAGAGATACCAGAGAGTTGCTTAATACCTTGACACGCTCCAAATCGACAGCATTCATCATAGTGCCTTGAAAAAACGCCACGGTTGTGTAATGACGTTTTAACAAACCTTCAAGCTCCAGATCAGGCTCCTTTCTATTATATTATGATTATCACATATTCACGAGTTATTATTTATTAATTTTCTTAACATATTCATCAGTTGATTTATTATATTCAATTATCAATGATTAATGCTTGAATTATCGTGGAAGTATTAAATTATATTTGAGAGAGTAAACAGCAAACTTACCGATGTAAAAATACAACTTCCACGTCCACATCTTCTCGATCCTCGTGTAAAAAATCTTTCAGGAAATGTGAGACCGACTCGTATGTTATATGCCCACAGACGACGATATGTCTAATGTTGAAATTCAATTACATATGTCATATTTGATGATGAAAATCGATCACGTAATTTAATATTTAGAAGCAAGTGCCAGATTAAGTTGATTGATGACATAGACATTGATTTGATGATAGCGCGACGGATATAAAAAGAGAATAGAATATTAGATTTCATTCTTGAAAGATTTTCTCTTATCAAAACAGTTTAATTATTTCAGCCAATTTACAGACAGATGCATTCGCAATAATTATGCAAATATTGAATGCATCATTATCGCATTTCATGCACCTAAAACGGGTCGTTTATTTAAGGCTTCAAACAAAAGTTATCTCATGGAGGCCAAAATTAAAAATTAAAATAAACTTAAACAGGTTTTAAAGTAGTTTTTCTTGTAAAAAAAATGTCAATTATATTTGTATTTATATTTTGAGAGGGATAATGAATGATAAAATATGTTCTGAATTAATATATAGTCTGTTATCCATCATATATAATTATGTAAAGAAAAACTATTAAAATATATTATTCAACTTTAAAAAATATTAAAGAAGTAAAAACTGTGAATTTTATATGAAACATCAATGAGATTTGTTTTAACCAACCAGATGATATTTTGTTTAAATATTCAAAGGAAATGTGGGGAACGCGACAGCTGCATTTGCTTAAAATCGTTTTCTGTAGTCGGAAAACCTCTTTGATGTTTGCATTTAGATTTCATTCCGAAAAAACCAAACGTTATGCTCACACAATGTTGTCAAAACTTGCAATGTTCTCTACTTTGATGCAAACTACGAATAAGTAAAAACTGTATTTACAGCATTCTCATTTCTCCGCATAGGTTGATTAAAAGTTTAAAGTATTTAGTATTAGATAAGAAGTTCATCTACAAGTACATTCCATTACAAAATCTTTACATGCAATCAAAATAAAAGCAATGAGACAGGAATCTTCCGATTTAAATAGCTGACGTGTTGGGAACGAAAATTAATCACGATTTATCATCGGAAAATTCAAATATCTAAATCGATTCAAAACTTTACACAATTCTTCTTTAACGTTGAAAGTTTTGAATCGACACAAATGAATGTTTTTTGTTTTGGTTTTGGCGAAAATTTTAAAACTTAATTTCAGTTAATTTTCAACTACAGGAGATTTTGTTTTTGTACAAATAACTTTTAATTCTTTTATATTTTTTATTCCGATTTACCATGAACGGGTGCAAATATTTCAACATGTAATTCTTTTCTTTTTTATTTTTTTCTACTGAATTAAATTTGGTTAAGTTTCTTATTCTTTTCATCGATCAATTAATTAATTTACAGCTCATAAATTTACGCACATTATTTAAACGACATCATTTCGTTTCAATCCTTTTGCCTTCGATAAATAGATAGATAAACATTAAAAACTTCGTAAGGGTGAAAGTTGGCTCATTTCAAACAAGTCTTTGAACTAAGTTGATTGATAAACGCAGATGTGAACAAAAATAATTTACGATTGTTTGAAATGAGTTTCAATCTATGAATATCTAAAATAAATATACAAAACTTTTATAAGTATTCACAATACTTTAACGAACTCCAAAATGGATTTCTTTTTTTTTTTTATTAAAGTTAATTTTATTTACAAAAACTTTTTAACCATTTTGGAATCCTAAAGTTTTCAAAGTTTTTCTTAAATCAACAAATACAGGAATTAACAATTAAAAAAATCTATTGATATGTGAACTCCTAAACTCTTCTATTTTAAATTGTCAAATCCTAATTTTCGTGTGTTGGGACTAATAATGCCTTTTGCCACGCATTTTCATTGACATTTTAAGTTCATAAAGACACAAAATTTGCATACTAGTTGTTCGATTGATTGAAAAGAAATTATCAACTTCGTGAATTCTTTACAGATAGCATAGATAGAACTACTTGTAGAACACAACATATAACTTATTATTCACAGTTTAGTCTCATATCAACAAGCTCTTTAACTGATTTTGTAGCTGATGGTTGTTGAAATGAGAATTGCATTAATTCTTCACAAAAGCTGGTACATTCAAAGCCTTTCCTTTCACTTGACATATCTTTTTTCATTTAGCTTAATTCGTCAGTAGAACTGCTTCAATAAAAAACACTTTCATTAACTTAAATACGAAGGCGCACAGCGGACATCACTCATCTATAAACATTCGAGGGTTCACAATAAGGACGACAGTTTTCTAATAGTATAATTGCTACAAGTAAATCCTAGAGAATGTCACCGATTGCTTTCTATTGGAAAGGAAATTCAAAAAAGCAATCGTTTCCATTGTAAAAATAGTTCTTTTGTAAGTTTTTCTAGCTATTAGTTCTGAAGAAGAATGTAGAGAGTTAACACCTAAAGAGTATTATTTTTCAATTTTAAATCACATCAAAGAAAATTAAAAACCAATTTCATTAAGAAACAACAACATCAACAAGAAATCATATTTTCATAAGATTATGCCATGACATGAATTTGTAACAAAAAAGAAACATTGATAAGAAACAAAGATAACATAATGAAAGGTAGAGAACAAAACAACGAAAGAAAGATTGTGTATTAGAGCAAAGTCACAGATACATGAAGTTTAGTGTAGCAAATTAGAGTATAAGTTATGTCAACTTCAATATTCACTTTTTTTTACTTTTTTTTTACTTTGCTCTTGTGTTAAAAATTTAGAACATAAAATCGAATTAGGTTTTTCAGAAAAGAATATAACAAAAAGATGTGACCATGATTGTGTTAGGAGTGTAATGTGTGATTGATTCAATTAAGTATTTGTTTCTGTTCTTTTGTTTATTAACACTTCTCACCTTCGCCCTCTCTCATTTTTCAATGTTCCCCCATATTTTGGTCTCGTTCCAATCAAATCAATTATCTCTGGTATGCAACTTGCAAAAATTGCCTAAAAAATTTATTTTTGGGTTGTGAATACAATGAGAATGTAAATTTTCTTGTACGTTTATGCTTTAAGGATTTTGTAGTTGTTGAGGTTTTTAATTTAAATTTTAAAATAAAATATCGAATGAAAATGAACTTGGAACATTTTCTCATCGTTTTCTGTTTCTTTTTTCCTTTTTGTATCATCATTACGGTGTTTATCGGTGGATGATATGAAATCAAATTTGTAAAATAATTAAAAAAAATGAAGAAAACTTTTAACTATTTAATAATAGATACATGATCCACATCATTACAATGGAGAATCTTAAAATAAATAAAAGTTTCTGTTGCGTAGTCTCTCTTAAAGATTATATTAAAATAATTATCCTGGTTTGTGTTCTCCACATAGTGTTTTTCTTATGAATTACAATAATCGTGTTTCTCACTACTTGATAGAAAGATATAAGGTATTAATTATGTTATTATTATAAGTTAGTACCTAAATTATTAAAATATGTGTACAAAGATTAAATATTTTCATTAGGTGGCAAAATTTTATGTTTTCTATGTCCAATTATGAAACATTTTGATCATATTTTTGTTAACATTTCAGTCTTGACGCTGCATAAAAGGCGCTCGATTTCTTGGATCTAAAAGCTACTCAACTCTATATTCTAAACAAATTCTCTCATGTGATCTTTTCATATTTTTGTACGTAAATTTAGATTTATTACGATTTCATGGATGCTCATTTTGACATCCTTCTTGGATTTCAATTAATTTTTTCTTTTCTTTAACGTTTTCAGTTTTAAAATTTTTCTTTTCTTACGAAGTTGTGCGGAATTTGTAAAAAAAATTGGATTGAAACTAATTGATTCAATTAAATATTTCTAGGAAAACTATTAGTTTGAATCTGAGAATAAAACTGATTTAGATAATGAATGTATAGAAAAAAACTAGAAATTGGTGAAAATTTTAAAATAAAAGAAAAATCGTCAAATCCTTTTGATGTTGCAATTTTGTCTAAAAAAATTTTGACGATCAATCCATAAAATGTTATCAATTTTTTGCAAGCATTCGTGGCACTGTCAAAAGTGTGGAAACGAAACACCATCAATTCAAATCCAAATACAATGCAATGTAAATGTTTTTTGCCAGTGCCCTCATACTCTAAATAACTTTATGAACAAATTTTTATGGATGTGATCAGTTAAATGCGTGGCTGCGGCAAACAGGCTGTGCAAGCAAAAATAATTTCATTTTTAATTTGAACAAACTCTCATTATTATGGTAAAAAATCTACTATTAAATAAATGTAGTATCGTCAAACAAAATCAATTCTCATAACCGTTAAATGGCAGATGATGAAAGGGAAGAATAAGGACTCAAATGGATTAAAAACTAAAACTTTAATCGAACAACAAAAGAATGTAGAATCAAGAAAAATAAATTTGTTAATTTGTATTTCATTGTGATAAAATTCTTTTTGTTTTCAATTCGTTATTTTTTTGATCATCAATTTCCTAGCAATGATGGATGATGCTATGTTGTATTCTAAATGATTCTCAAACACCTAATTAACATGTCAACTTAATAAACAATAAAAAACAAACTTTATGAACGTTTTAAATGCTTTTTTATGTAAATTAAAACTTTTGACTAAATCGTGTTTGAAACATAATTTTTACATGTTTTAAAAGTCATCCGAAAGACTATAAGATCAAATTAAATGTAGCAAATTGAAAGAGGGTAGGAAAGTTTAATAAACTTATCGTTCAACGCGTTTATGAAAATTAAACCAAGTATTTTGTTCTGTTTTGCTTATTGTTTTTGAAAGAGCTGAGATGAGATGCCAAGAAACCAATGCCTTTATGTCATATTATTATCCTTTTTGAAAATTATAAAATTTAATTTATCAATTTATCACATAATTTATAATAAAGTCGATGAACAAGGTTGTCGTCAACCAATTTGCAAGGTGTAAATTGTCTCATGTAAGTTGCATGAAATATTCTTTCAATCCAATTAATCTGATCTGGCAAATTGTTTGACTTTTTTTTTGGTGACCGTTACAGATAATAAAATGTTTTAT